CACACACACCCAAAACGCCTATAATTTACATGGAGTGGTGTAATATACAAAGCGCTCTAATCTAGCACGCTAATCTCAGCTCTATAATGCAAGCAGGTTTAAATTACAGTTTACCGCGAACATTTTCACACGAATATGTTAACTTTTGCATGTGTTCGAGTATCAAACGGCTGAGAACGTTTTCATTTTTCAATTCGCTAGACGTTTGTTAACAACATTTCGGAATTAGACAAATCTAATTCAACATAAACTTTAAAATGGAACCGGCCGCGATTTACAGACTTGTACAGCGATCCGCTTTAATAACGTGCAATGTTTAAAAGCAACCGATGGAAAACAATGTAGAAACGCGCGTTGTTAGGGTCCCCAAATAGTTACCAAAGCGTCTAGCCATTATTGTTTTACTGCTTTCTCTGGATGTCAAACAAGACACTGCTAACTTCTTAAGAGTTTTATTGGTCCACACTTGAAATGGAAGTTTTTTAGCCATCTTTGAATATGTTATCTTAGAGTGCTAAAAACGAGTCATTAAGTTTTCATTGTTTTCGCTTATTTATGTGCTCCTGAAACATCGAGCAAATCCTCATTCAGTACCATCTAGGGATTTTCTGTAGAAAAATTTGTATTCCATAACGTTATTTGTTAATGAGCCCGGTGGTAACAAACGTCTACTGTACAAATGTATTCTGTAATAGCATACAGTGTAAGCAAATAATAGTTTCCTAATTTGTTTTTATGTAACATCTATAATGATGATAAGCGTAAAACGCTGAGATGGCACTTTGTTCGTATACTCGCAACGAAATTCTAAGAAGAATCTTCATCAGATGAACAGCAGTTTACACGTGAATTAAGTTTACCTACATCAAACATAGTAAAAACACCGTACTTGTTAAATTCCGCTTAGAAAAAAAGTAAAATAATAGACGGAATAACGCAGATATTTTATTCGCATACAAACTACCTGTTACATTAAAAATCCACGGCTTTACCAAATAGGGTTGGTTTTTTTACTTCTTATTTTATAATAAATGAGACGCGCGCATTTTCTCATCTACAGATGTAATTGAACATTTTTGTTTTCTACTATTCTTTCACATTTTTGTTTTTCATTGGCAATTTTTTCAATAAATATCAACTCATAGCGATTTATAAAATTACAGTTTTAATTTCTCCGAAATTATCGATGTAGAATAATCATAACAACAAACCGCTTCATTATATTTATATATAAGAGAAAAATGACATTTATTATAATTTTACTCTTACAAGTACCCGGTAATAAAAAACACTATAAAGTATTTATACAGTGCCCCTATCATGGATTAAGCATGTCGATTCCCATGTTCTCCTACCACCAATTGAGCCTATGCACTAACAAGTATGCGTGCATTTGTCAGAACAACCGTCGCAACCGCCGCAGTGCAGAGGAAATAGTTTATCGTTGATTGATTGCATCCACCACAAAACTGTTCCTCCCCTGAACTTACTGGTGCACTACTCACAGTAACTATAATACATTTGTATACTCACTTAAACTGTACTGTATGTGTTTTCCCACGGGTACCTGCTGTGTGTAATTACACTATACATCGGTATACCTACCCTTAATGATTACAACGTATCTATTCACACAAAAACAATAATATTAATATCACACGAGCGGAATTGTATTACCGACCGATATGTGTTGGATATTGGTAAACCGGAACACGTCGTGCAGTAGTAGGGGCAGCGACCGGTCGATGTGTCCCCAGATAACCCTTTTTGTCGCTTCCTGCAAGGCGGCAGATGACGGCGATTATATTTCCGGCACGCCGACAAGTATCCAATGTCCAAGAGCGTCTCCTGCACTCTAACAGTTCCTAGATGTGGGCTTAGTGGGGAAATGATACCGGAAGTTTCGTCAGAATCTGCAACGACGGCACGGCCGTTGTCAGTTCGATGGTGTTGAATGTCCGTTGAAATCCACCTAGGGCTTATATGGTTTTAAGTAAAAATATGTAATTTGACGCCTTAATGGAATGAATAATTAATGACATTTATGTTACGTAATGTTCAAAACCACACCAAATTTCGGTTGACCAATTCTAAGAGATATCAAATAAAATATTAAAGAACTAGAACATAGTTGAGAGTTCCTTGAGGTTTCTAAGATAGTACATTTTTCAATTAATATGACTAATAACACTGGATTAAAAATACAAAGATAAAAAACAAGTTATTGCCCGCAAAATGTATACTCTAACTGAACCATCTGATTAAAGATTGTTTTATCAACAAATTATCTAGAATAAAAAGCATACAGTGGGTTTACTCGATGTAGTTCAAAACTTCAGTTTCATCAATTATTTCGATTTCTACGTTTTCCTGTTATAATCCAATTTCAACACACAATAAATACTATGACAAGTGATCAATGATTTTATGTTAAAATCATTAGTATTCATATTTGTAATTTGTGCCATATTATGTTTGTTTCTATGTATTGAATTTCCGTTAAATAATTTCTGACAGGTCCATTTAACAGGTGTGCAGGATGTATAATAGGCACCTCCTCATCATTTTTAATGTTATGGACAATATATCCCACGGGTTCGTGTTATTTTATCGAATAGTGAGTGCACTTGTCACTTATTATGATCCGTATGATTGATATAATATTGGTGTTCGCACGATAACACCCAAACAAAAGCATAAAACACACCCAATGTTTTACTTTGAATTATAGTTCACAATTCCGACGTGAAAACTGCCAAAAAATGTTTAGGGTGTGCTTTGTCGTCCAATAAATGATATTGTCATATTAAACCATGCAGCATGGATAATGTTTTTTTTTTTTTTAGTAAACATAGATACACGGCGTTATTGCGTTGAAATGAAATGTTTTTTATTAATTTTAATAAGTCGCGGCGATTTCAGAGAGTTGGTGAATACAACCGCATAAATCTGTCATTTAAAAAAGATATACTATTTTTACATTCATAAAAAATTATTGGCGGTTTTTAATTTCGATCATTAGTGTTATTACGAGTAATGTAATTGTGCATCGTGTTAAAATCATAGGTTTTCTCTTCTAAACAAATTATGCAATGAAATATAATTTTTTGTAGTTAGTAGGAAGCAATAAACGTTTTTATCGTGTACATTTCCCTCGGTGAAATTCGAATTATATCGTTGATATTGTTTGTGGTAAGAAATGGCTTATACTGTGTAATAGTGTTCTTTGAATTTTAGCAATGTATAATATGGATTTTAGTTTCTTTAAAGTCTCGAATAAGCTTTTATTTAACTGGTGTAATAATTTTGTGGTAACGGTTACCTTTCGAATAAGCATACACAAATGAAATTATTACACTAATTTGATTTGTACCAAAAAGACGTAGTCACATTTAATATAATGTAAGTCAAAGATATGAGTTAGCTTCAACATTTAACTTTCTTGTTGGATGAATTATTTAAACAACGAAAACAATCAAATTATAAAACAAGTAATATTATGTGGCGGCTATAAAATGAATGACAAAATATGATCTCGGCAATAAAACTGCAACGTAATAATTTTCTAAACTTAGACTGTTGTTTAATGATTTTGGAAAGACATGAGTGCTATTTTGATCAGATGAGAATAAGCCATAAAGATGTATTACATTATGTTTTATGGAGGAAGCAAACAGTTCCTTAAAGTTTAATACAACATAACATATAGACGAACGAACATAATATATTATTGCGATAGAAAAAAAATTCATACGAGTAAAATAAAGCTCCTTTGTTTACATAAAAAAATATACATGTTGGAATTACTTTTTCGTAACACTCTTAAGACCGATGAAAACAATGGACAACTTGAGCGATCACCAAAAGCACTGTTAAAAAAGGGTTAGACTGATAAGATAAGTTTTAATTGAATTTTTATCATGTATACTTTTTTCACATAAAATTAAACAAATTAATTCAATATTACTATCACGTACTCATTAAATAATATGATAACGATAAATACTTAAACATATTAATAATTAATAAATTAATATATACATAAATATTAAAAATTAATTTTCTAAGAAATACTATTTATTAGTAGCTTCAGTCTCAGGGCTATAATAAGTGATCAATCACTTATTATATGATGTAATTACAAACTGTTTTATCAAAAAAATTTGTTTCATTGAAGAATTAATTTTTTTCATTTATAAGCTATTACATTACAACTCCTGATTACAAATCTACAGTGAAGCAACCAGAAATTACTTTTAGTAGATATTAAAGCATTTTTTACCCAGAAAATGTAGGTGCATAAAATAAATTTGATGAGCAAAAAAAAAAAAAAATGTCAATATGAAACTTCTATATTTAATGTCAAGACTTGCACTTTAAACCTTATTAATAGTTAATATATTTATATTTTAGGCGCTGTTCAATCAAATTGTGTGAAATTAATTAAACTGCGGACAGTGATTTGACACATAAAATATGTGCTGTAATGTGTCACTGAGTACACTAGAATTTCTATAGATCATAATGAAATAAAATACTAAAAAAATTTCCGCCAATGGACTTAAGGTGTTTGCATTGTGTAAATAAATAAAGTATGCGTTTAAGAGTGACTTGGCACGAGCGTCCAAAGGCGACCAATTGTGGAGGTGGCGTGTTGCATGTTGTGTTATGGAAATAACTCCAAGTCTGAATCGAAGAGCCACTATGACGGTGCCATGTATCTACTGGTGGTGGTTTTCAAATGCGGAACAGGAGCGTGTGTATGTGTACGAAGGGGTCGTAGCGAATCGTCGTAATAACACGACCACAGTGAGCGCCAGTATGAGTGTGTGTGTGTCATGCCACCCCTTGCCACTGCCACGCAACAGCGGGTAAGGCAACAGGCGCCGTTGGTGGTGAGACTTGCAGTGCGCGCGCATCCAATAATAATCACCCCTTCGAATAGGGTGACACCCACAGCGCGTACAGAGTGTCCGCTACAGGGTTGGTGGCATACGGGGGAGGGTACGACCGCAGCGTCTGCAACGGTGGCGATATAAGTGCTGGCCACCAAACATTTCCAAACGCACTCGCGTACCAAACACTCGATCTAGTCGCTTAGGTGCTCCTCTTCACGCTATCTCTTCTTTCTTTTTCTCTGTTTCTGTTATCTGTTCTTATTTAATTTTTTTTTTCTAACTAGAGACGATTTTATATTTTTCTACGTCCTATAACCCAAGTTCGTGTGTGCGTGTATAATTTTTCGTCTGTCGGGCACCCTTGTCTTCTGACTGTTGCCCCCTTGACGTACCTAAATTCTTACTTGTGGCGATTAGTTCTCGAATGAAGTTTGGCCATGCCCCGGTGTTTGATGCCGAAAAAGTGGAAAACGGCCGTGGCCAACGAATGCTCCTGGGACTACGACAGGCGGCCAGTGTCGCCGACAAGTAAAGGTGGCACACTACAGTGGGAACCACCGGTGGCCGTAATCCTTCAACATCATCACCAACCGGCGATGCCACCACCGCCACCGCATCATCATCACGCATGGGGACCTTCGAGCCCACCAGCAGGAGCTACAGCACCAAGTCCACCTCCTTGTTGTACAGGCACAGCTTTTCACTACCTAACAGGTACACTATTAAAAAATACTTTTTTTTTTTTTTAATACGTGTATAGTCAAAAAAAAAAATATTAATAATATAATTCTTAGTTAATTCATATCGATGAAGTAAATATTACAGTTAAAAATTCTAAGCACTATATTTGACGAGTAATTGACAATTGTTCTTTATAATTAATTGTGAAATACTATTTAAAACCGTTTGCAAACAACTTCTATTTAACTAATTATTAATTTGACATTTTTTTTTTTAATGAATATAGACTGTTTTAAGTTTAAATAATTGCCAAATGGATTTTCATGTTGAGTTTAACAAGTATTTAATTTTGACTTTATCAAATTATTTTTATAGTATTCATATTTAAATTATCTAATAGATAATATCTATGCATAACTTACGTAACGTGCGATACTTAAAGTAGGTAGTAAATTATTTTCTGTGATTAATGCAGAAATCTAATAATCTACAGCTAAATATTTGATTGATTAACAATCAGTAAGTGTTAAAACGTTATGAATTATCACGTTACATTATTACGACACTATAGTAGTTTACTACACATACAGTGTAATTAATTAATGATTTTTTCATAAAAATGTACAAATTAAAATTTGATTTTATTTTTATGAACTAAGGCAAATATTGTCGTACGAAAAAACGATTTCTAAGTACATTTTAGTGGTAAATGCGAACCTACTATTTTTAATACTAAACGGAGAACGGTCTAAATAAAATATCGGCTGGTCGATTACCAGTCATGTAATATTACAATAATCTTGGTCATTACCAGGGTTGATGAGAATAAATGAAATTTTAACGTGTAAATTTTCACGAATAAATGATGATTTAACGAAAAAATGGGAAATAGTGTTCTTAATAAATCGTACTGTAAATTACACAATGATCTGACTTTGGGATAAAAAACAACCATGAAATTGAGTGGAAAAAAAATACGCGTCGGTGGGCCTGAATTGAAGTTTATTGTTTTAAACGTCTCATTTCCATAATTATCGTCTGTTTGCGGTATACTCATATCTTACGTCGTGTTAAGTGTATGTTTTTATTGTTGACAAACCGTTTATTGTGTTGGTGGTGGTGACGACGAGTGCCGCCATTTGGCAACAGTATAATAGAACGTTAGCAATGAAAATCGAATCCCAAGCTCAGCGAGGCCTACCCAGTGTAACACCTCGAATAAATGATAACATTACGAGGCCATCGTAAAATGGTTCTGCCCCTATAAATCGCTGCTTTAAACGGTTCAAAATCATAATGGTAATAACAACAATATGACTATACACTGATGACGATGCAATAAGTTTTCCCTTCTGGCCGTTGCCATTTTCCAAGTCTACGTCGGCTTAATAATAAACCCCGTCGCCTACCTGCCAACGTACAACTGGGCCGCAAAATTATGGACACTAAAATTGCACAGTGCGCCTCTACTCGGTTATCGTAGCAGGTTTCGAAATGATTTTTACATCTATGTGTTCGCTATTTTTTTTTTTACCCTCAACGTTTAATGGCACCATTAAGGATTTCCCCATACGCCAGAGAATAATAATAAAAACAAATTAGCCGAAATTACCACCGAGGCATCTAAAATAATACATACTGCTTATCATAATATTATAATAATTTATACAATAATAGTGTGGCGGTGATTTTAATTTTACGCCAACTTTTATTATTATAAATCTCGTGTACGGAACATTTCGTTTCAGACTTTAAACAAATTTTTATTACAACAAATACCTCTTTAACGTGTGCTTTTAAATTAAACAATTCGGTCAAAATGAATTTTATGGTATAACTGCGAGTTTATTATGCAACTAGTCCGTGTAATAAAACCATCTCCAAAATAACTAACTAATGTTAAACTTTTTAATTTATTAATGTATTCTAAAAGGTTCAACTAATTCTTTTATTAAACGTCACTTACATTACATAAACTTTACGTTTACATCAGCTCCTTTGTTAATCAAAAGTTAGAGCAAATCAATTAACCTCGAAAGGTAAATATCATCTAAATGCGCTTCAACCACTCGCGTTTCTCGAAAATGATAAATTAAAAACCACATGTTTACATTTACTTCATTTTGTCGTATAGTTTCCGACGTCATTTCAAATGTTTTTTCTAATTACATTTTTTTATCGCTCAATTGAAATTATATTTATTTTAAACGTCTCGTAAATTGTTTACTACTTTTCTCGAGACGAAAAATACGTCTATAGGAAAATAAAGCTTATTTTATAAATCGGCGAGATGTTAAATATAAATAAAGCAAATATTGGGACATCGTCTAGAAAAAATAACCTTCCCGTCGAATCGTCATCGCGCCTTACACGCCGTTAAGTATGGTCCAATCATTCGTTCAAACGTTTTTCTATTAGTATTTATCAAAGGTCTGTGAGACGATGGCGATTTCAGAGGAAAATTCATTTTCTAGACTGTATCCGAGTATCTACTCGATTCGCTGTACTTTGTCTTCTCGTGGACCATTATATATACGCCAATAAGTTTATCTCGGCGGAGAATGTCAGCACTGATTGTTATTGGTTTGCCTCGAAACCATTGTTTTGTAAAGGATAATCCAATCATATTATGAAATGGTAATAATTTTCAAAATGGTTTTGACTGTTGACCGTGTGGATTTGACGCGATGATAGTGTAGTTTACCGACCGCATTAGCTAATGGATTCTTTCTGAGGCGCAAGTCGAACGATCGAAGCGGAAGAATCGCCAGGATACGTCAGAGCAGAAGAGATAACATTGATGTCCGTATACATATTATTATTATTATTATTATTATATACACAGTGAACGGTTCACTGCAATGCACATGATTTAGGCCTGAGCCATTATACGCGGAATGGGAGCTGTCTACCGTCATGTCCGATATATTTCCTATTCCCATAACTCTCGTACTATTATTGTTTTTTACGACTGAAAAACACAGGGAATTTTTTTTTTTTTTAATATCTCGATGCCATTTTTATTCGTTTTATTGATCCGTTCTGTTAGATCCATTGGAAACGGTATCAATATTAACAACAGTTTGAACGTGAAATATATTTGCCTGACAAAGGATTAAAAATTAGATATTTTGCCTATTGTGCGATCATAAAAAACGAAGGGTCATCTACCGAGGCATTGTTCGAAATGAGAGGAACTGGTTTTTTTTTTTATGTCACGGTCCATAGGGACACGCGCACGGCTTTTATGCGCTTGTTGCACTCGACCCGGTTTGAGAGCAACAGCTGGTTGATCTCGCCTATTAAGTGAAACCCACTGTGTGTATAGTGTACGAACTTTATCGGAGGGTCGTGAATCCGAAGCAAAAAAAAAAATTGGGTCCTGGGGGGAGACGACCGGGAGCACCTGGCACGCGACCACCGGAACAATATATATGTATGAATTATTATATTATTTAATAAACAATGCGCAGCTGGACAACTGGTTGGCCGTGTAACGGGAGCTGTATGCTACCCCACGTGTTGTTGGTAACGGGGGCGCACCGGTTCGTCTGCGTACGGAGGGGACCGTTAGTGCAAAAACGAGACTTCTATTATTAAACGCGAGCACCGGTGCGGAGGATGTTGTTTGGCCAGACGTTGTATTCCGGACACGTGCAAATCTCCAAAGGGTCTGCGCGTCCGACAGTGATGCGAGTCGGTCAGTCAGACAAGTCACGACCGCGGGACCCTTTTGGAAATTATCCGTCTGGAGATTATTCTAGAGACTCGCCCGACGATAATAATAACAGCTTATGAACTCGAGGGTCTTGCGGCGCCCTAAACCGGAGGTCGGTGAAAAACGGTAATGTCCGTCGTCCTGTTAACTCGCAGCTAAATAAAAGTTAATAACTTCACGACGGGCAAAAATAACATGTTACCCGGACAACGTCAACCCCAAGCGCACTTTGTTGAATAATTAAGCCCGTCGGTAGAAAAAAATTAAACACACCGACAAAATACATATTATTATAATAGATTACAACATGCGTCATAATTATTAAAAAAACAAAACAAAGTATTATCGTTGAACGTTTGAGACACATGTTGATAATAATACGGTGGCGTGCCGGAAAATCATACGTTTACTGGATTACACAATCAAAGCGACTTTTTCGAATGAAATAAAAAATTCAAGTTGCGAGCTCTTTGAAGTTCCACATAATGTTACGTTATAATATACTGTTGGGCGATTGCAAATGACAATCTCTTCTATGTTATTGCGCAAATAAAATATAAGTTTTACTTGCCCGAGGCACCGACCGACGTGTAAACACACCGAGGAGTACATAAGCTGTATAAAGAGGGGCGATAAGGAGGAGGGAAACCCAAGAGAGTCACGGGCCATTTATACGCCGGATTATTTGGCTATGACATTTTTACGTTTGCCAAAGGTCACCCTGGATGGCCTTATACACAATAATAATACATAATAATATTACTACTATATAGACGTTGTTTATGGAGCCATTTTATAAGTATAACGCGAGTACAACGGGGCCGGGCCGCGTATTATAAAACATTTTCTTCCTCCGGGGACTGCAAGAGGGGCGGGGGTACAAATAAAAATAAGAAATGGGAAAAATTGTTGTCTGCGTTTAGAGCAATTTAAAAACGAGACACAGACATGCTGAAAGTGACGGGCGGAGAGATGATCGGTGTGCATATGGAGGGTGGAGTACATATACGGGTTTTCTCTCGGGCAATCTAGAAAAACAAGATTTGCTCTTCCCATACCTTTTGCATCCCTCTGTCCGGTGAATTTATATAGAAAGTTTTTTCCCTCTGCGCGTACTCTCCCTGCTAACTTCACCCGCCACTCTTATTTATACTTTAAATAGGTCTCTGGCAAAAACAGCGATTTTTCTTTTTCCATTCTCTATCTTTAAACTCCCCGAATGGCCATAATTGAAAGTCTTAGAGGTGACACTGTATATATTAAACCGTGTAAAAAGTTTTAAATTTCTTTTGCTTCCTCGCCAGAACTAGACGTGCATCACTCCAAACTGATTTTTCTCATTTCATCCGGATAATATTAAAATTATCCGTTGTATATATCGAGCGTCTGTACATTCATAATATCACTGCGTTTTTTATTTATTTTTTATCGGTCATGTCTCCGACGCAAAGCAGGCTATACATCACAGGGCCACCGACGTAACGATTCAACAACAACAATAATTATTATTAAAGTTTGATTTCTAAAGAGTATATACGCGTTAGCATGGTCGTGTATTCACGCGTTATAATATCGTACAAGCACTGATAATACACTTTTCCCATTCGCAACATATTGTGCTAGGACAGATAGTGACGTGACCGTAGGACACTATAAATCAACGGTAAAAAATCCAACTCCTTTCTTTTTCGCACTGATACCATACCAGCTCCAATAAATATTCACGGCGAATCTTGACGGAAAAGTACTGTTAATTTGAATGGTATACAGACGGCAACGAGTGACTCGAAGGACCTGATAGTAACTAATCACTAACAGTAATGTTCATAAGTAAACATTATAAATCATAAATAATTTGCCAGTTGAATAAGTCATTTGATTGTATAATTATTATATAGTTCATGTATTCTTGTGTTTAGTTTCAATTAAAAATACTCGTAAAGTTTATTTGGCGAAAAAATATTACTAAAATTTCTCCGCTTTAATTAAAATTATTGTTTTCTATATGTGACGTGTCTCGATTGAAAATTAAAATGTCTATACACAGAAAAAAATATGCAACTCATTTATTCCCAAATAATCTTTCTAAATGATATCATTATTTGAAAATAATCAAAATATAATGCAGTTATCTATTAGAATTATGTTTAGAAAACTATAAAACGTAAATAAAACACATTATCATAGACAGGTAATGAAAATTCTAAAAAAAGGTTCTCTTTAGTTTGTTTTGTCTATAACGGTGTGGTTGCTTATCAGTTAACTCATCCACCTCGTCTACAGTAATGCGACTATCGATAATTTTTTGTTATTCCTTTAATATTGTGAGACTCCCAAAAATGATGTGACGGGTCATAACCTCACATGTTGAGTTCTTTCCACTTGTTGGTCATATGTTTCCGTGTAGTACCCAGCGATTTCTGAGCGCTGTAACACCTCTGTAGATCAACTGAGATCCATCGATGATATTCGCGATGATTCGATGATAACGCCGAGCAGTTATTGTTCTTACATCGGTCTCTTCATCACTTGTTCGTCTTTGTCTCTTTATTCCTTCGACGTACTACGGTTTTTTCAACGCTGCCGATCTCCATGATGTTTAGCAACAATCACAAGTTTTCACAAAGAGGTAATACTACTAATGAATTTCAGTAGTAATTAATGTAAATATTTTACCATAATAAAATATTACAGTAATATTTTTAAAATTAATTTTGCTTTAATTTTATTAATTTTTATTTTTAATCAACTCTTTTAAATATTTAATTATTGCTGTTGTAAGGATTTAAGGGTGGACAGGCGTCGTTGTCGGTCTGTAAACAATCAATTAAAATGATTATTTAACGAAGAGCGCTCGGATATTTTTTTGCTTTCTGTTGTTCTATTAACAGCAGTGTTCGTTGATGGATTTATCGGTTTTATGTAAACAACACAAAAAATATATATCTGCTACAGCTAGCTTAAATAAAAAAATCCACAGTTAATATAATTATACCGCCAATGTGTTTATAATTGGGAGGGCAACTACTGCATAAGTAATGATTTTGTAGTTTTCCTTAGCAGACTGATTAAGTTTTTGTGCCGCCTTAGCTTTTACTAATTTGATTTATACGGATGCGGTTGACAGAGGGTGTACTCGTAGTATTTGTTAGAAAATAATTTACTTAGGCATGTTCACATTAATAAATAATTTTTATATTAGATTTTATTTTGCAGTCCGTTTCTGTTGGGTATCTTAGTAGGAATAAAATTATTCTCTACGATTATACGCCGACCGACAGACGGGCGCCCTGCTCGCCTTTCCGTTTGTCATTTGCTTTCCCTTCGTCTCTTCTTTACTTGATTGACGGCCATTAAAAATCTTCGATTACACAACGATAACGGCGAGTCAGAAATGTACAGACAATAACCCAAACATAATCAACCGTTCACTGTTGCTTTTTTATTTCTTGTTTTACTGTCAAAGAGCAAAATCGTTATCGATTTTCTTCTAATGATCATGTTGCGTTTTATTTTAGAAAAACTAAATGTCTAAAATGTTATTATTGCTAATTAAAAACCTAACATGATTAACCCAAATATTTTCCATTATTTAATTCAGTTTCTAGTATACGTTCGAAATTACATCATTGTAAAACATCTATAAATTTAGCATTTGTTTTTTTTTTATTCTAGTCTTGTATACGGCCTAATATTCTTTCTCTTTTAGATTTCTGGATTAATGTTATTTTGTTTCACCACTTTTCTATTGTGCAATCGCCGGGCTTTTATATAAAGTTAAATTATTAACCAATTCGCATTGGAGGAGATCACGGGTATTGCAAATTACAACATAATTAATAAAAATAAAAACATTTTCATTTTAAATAGTTGATTCACTTATCGCGTTTCTCTGATATCAACTTTTGCGTACGTAATTATGTATTATCTTTTATTATACAGTAGCACATTCAGATATGCCTCTGTGCCCTCTTTCAATTTTTTCAAGTTAATATTCTTTAAATGGATATATTACAATAAGTTATTGTAAAACTAACTTACTTAAAATTTTTAACGAGATAAAAATAAGTTTATGATTACGTAAGTATGAGTATCAAATTAAATGTGTACTTCAATAAGTTCAGAATAATATTATTATGAGCATTATGTGCATTCAATATGATAACTTTACAGTTAAAACTTTTTGCTAACCTATATTGTTTAAAATAGTATATATTACTTATTGTAATTTAAATTATTATCAACTTATAATTAATGTGTGCATGGGATACAGGGGTTGGGGGGGGGGTTGAAATATCCAAAATCTGCTCTTAATGTCTTAAATTATATTATACAGAGTGAACCCATTCTAACTGACGACTCTTAAAACTTTTGATACAAATAATATTTCGTTGTGATTTTTTTTTCTTAATAATTTATTTATTCAAAGCTACGTTAAAATCATATTTTTAATTATAAAAATATAAAAAAAAATTTTTTTTACTTTTAAAATAGCCAGTTTTTAACACTCTTACAAAAATGATTGCTGAGTCGATAATAATTGTAGAATGAGTAATTATTGAGTTACAAACATTTTAATACACTGATAGGGTTTGATGTGCGGGTGCGTACAGCTCTTTCTAATGTTTATATAAAACGTATACTTCGCCTGAGTTTCGTTATATTTGTGACTCAGTAATTCTATGTCATAAAATTGTTATCGACCCATTAATCATTTATGTAAAAAAATAAATTATATTTTATAATTTTAAAGTCAAAAAAAAATATAAAACGTTCGATTTTAACGTAGTCTATGAATACATAAATTATTAAAAAAACCACGACGAAATATTATTTGTTATCAAAAGTTAAAAGAATTGTCAATTAAATGTGGTTTACTCTGTACTTATTTAAGTCTTTAATTTGACATTATAGTTGCTTATACGCTAAAAATAATAACGGGTAAATGACACTAGTGAAGCCAGAAAAGTGATCTTCAGATTATATTAACATAAATATAGCACTCATAGTTTTTAACACTTTATAGTATTCTCTAAAGTTTTGTGAAAATAAGCTTTTAGTTTAAAAGAAATGCAAGTGTTATAATACTCGGTGGGCGGTCGAAATTATTCGGAAATGAAAAATAGATTATGAATACTCTCACCTCGTTGTAAAAACTACTTAAGAAGATTTATAAAGAGTATTTTTTTTTTACTAAAATACTCTATTTGGAATTGTACAAATATTAATATTTTACTATTTTCAAACTATATGAATAAATCTTGTGGAGTTTTTCTATTAAAGTGATAATATAAAAATGTTTTAAAAACAAATATTTTCGCATATATCTCGTAAATATTTTCGAAAACTATTATTATTATTATTATTATTATTATAAGACTGATTATTATTATGTTTGAACGTATCAATTATTTAGTTATTGAAAATAATTTCGGATTTTAATTATTTATTAACCTTTGAATGTAATTTATTAAAAAAATAATTGTTTGTTTTTCTAGAGTATGCGGGAAGTGTAAAAAATGAATATTCGACATTAACCGACGCACAAACTCCATCTCCAGCTGAAGTGCCGCCTTCCCAAGACTCTCCTGTCGCCATCGCTGGTACTCCAGCTCCACCGCCTCTCTTGACTGTTTTCCAATACCAAAGACCGCGCACTTACACCAGTACGGGGATAGCGTTATCTCTACCGCCCAAGAAAAAAGACATTTACCGGCCATATTCTTTGGACGATCACAAGCCTAAATGGTCCAGACCCGAAGAAGACATAAACGCTGCGCAAGCCATACTTGACCTGAGCGCGTCCACTCCGCCATCCGTGAATAGTCAACAGCAACGAACCACCGTGACGGCTGTAATACCGCAGGCTCCGCTGCCGCAAGCACAGCCACTGCCACAACCACAGCTCCAGCCGACGTCGGATCCGCCAGCGCCCCAAAGGACAACGACCACTACGGGCAAAACCGTTGCATACACATACGAGGCGTTTTTCGTCAGCGACGGTCGGTCTAAACGCAAGTCCTCTGTATCCGGCGACGAGTGCGGCGTGGAAAAGACCAATTCTGTGGCGACCAGCGCAGGTACAAATGCCGCGGCCGTCGGAGGTCGATCAAAGTACACGTGTTCCGAGTGCGGCAAGCGGTACGCCACGTCGTCCAACCTGTCGAGGCACAAGCAGACGCATCGCAGTCTAGACTCTCAGTCGGCCAAGCGCTGCAACGTGTGTGGTAAACCCTACGTCAGCATGCCGGCGTTGGCCATGCACCAACTCACCCATAAATTGACGCACGCTTGTGATGTTTGTGGCAAAATGTTCAGTCGGCCTTGGCTGTTGCAGGGCCACCTTCGGTCGCACACCGGCGAGAAGCCTTACGGTTGCGCACACTGTGGCAAAGCGTTCGCCGACAGGTCCAACCTGAGGGCTCACATGCAAACGCACTCGGGCGACAAAAACTTTGCGTGTCCCCGATGTTTCAAGTCGTTTGCCCTAAAGTCGTACCTCAACAAACACTTGGAGTCGGCGTGTCTGCCAGTTTCTTCGACCGCCGGCCAGTGTTCGGTCACACCGCCACCCCCTCCACCAGCCGTGCATCATCACCACCATGTGGCCGCCGCTTCATCGGAAATCACCAACCTCAACTTACTGCGTCCTACGGTACTACACACAGTCTAAACATATCCTCGTCCGTTTCCATCGAATATTTATCGTTTTCAGTTAATCATGTGTACTTAATTGTAGTTATCTTTTTATACAACTATTCTGGTCAAATATTAATAGTCAATTTCAAAACTATGTCTTTAATGGAACTAATTGATTAATTTTAAAATAGTCTATTATTAATTTAAGGTAATAACATGACATATTGATTGTAATCGCAAACATACACAGTCGAACAATTACTACGGACACTAGTCACATTTTCTAGTCAATTCAGAATAAAAAAAAAAAACAATTCAAACGCATGGTATTAGGTTATTAGTGAATACAAGATGTAACGATAATACAATGTTTTATCTGCGAATGGGTGTGCAATATGCGTGTGCATCGTTCGGGCACGCTAAAAAAGTCTGATGCCGTTTTATTAATTTAAATGACATTTTTATTTTTTGTATTTATATTACATAAATTTAGACTGGTTTATTTTTTAATAAAAATTATTACTATTATTCTTTTCTCCATATTATATTATTATTAGCGTCATTAGACAATTATTATATTTTGCATGAAATCAAGTGTTTTATTTTTGAACGTCAAAGGAATAATTATTTTTATTAGTTTTGTCGGGAAAATATAACGTGCGGTTGGTTCCTATGTGATTTAACTTTGGTCTGTCCTTCGTAGCCAACACTATTATGACGTGTTCACGCCGACGATTAATTCACATTGTTGTGTAGGTTGCATTTTATTTTTTATTTTCATATTCGAATGCAATACAATTTTCCTTTACTGAGAAAATGTATACTTCAGAGTGTGCGGTCTAGTCACTTGTTTAGGTTTAGTTGATTAATAATTATATACCGATAGTTAGTAATGGTATTTAATGAGAGATCTCAAAACATAGAAGAAAAAAAAATGGTCAAATCATTTTTCTTTTGTAAATAATAATATTTGAAATTACAAAAATTAAATTATATTTATAGATAAACTAAATGACAAAGATGTAAAACATATATAAATGAGCCGGTGAAGTATTTTGTAGTGAATTGGATCCTTTGATGTCTAGACATATTTGACTTATTATTTTAATTAGACGGAAGTGATTAGAGTACAAAAACTGAAACACCAAAAAACATTTAATTTTTTTTTTTTTTAGCGTAAAAGTAAAAATAATTTATTAATAAGACATAGTAAAAAAAAAGTAATAATAAAAAAAATAATAACACGTATAATAAAATGTAATAATTTTTTTTGTCTGCTCAATGGTAAATTATTTATATTGAATATTTTAATAATTGATATAGACAACGTTGTTTGTTTAAATTTTATGACTTAAAATTGTCACTAGACTTATATTTGTCCCGTTTTCATTATTATTACAATAATTATTTTAATGAAGAAATTTATAAATAATATTTTAAGTACGTATTCGACAAGCAATAAACTTGTAGGGGGTACAACGGGGGCCAAAATATGTCAAACGGTTCCCGTGTGTCTCTGGTAGAGAGCGTAGAGCAATAATAATGTACTTGTGAAATCTATAGCAATACTTTATTGTGTATATTTTAATTTTTTTTTTATGTTATAGATGTTTAGAATAAATTTATATAGCTCAATGTGTACCTATTATAACGTAGATAGCGTTGATGTTAATAAGTAAATTATTTTGATTTTATTGTAAATAATTTTTATTAAACCTAAAAAAAATTTAATTGGGGTTAGACGCGCGCTGGCCGTTATTTTTATTATTATTATTTTTTTTAATTAATTAAATGTTGAAAGAAAAACACATAGTGGCCTTGAAGAATTTGACGTTTCTTAGATTTAAAATAACCTATACACATTAAAATGTAACATGTGTACGGATAAATGTATGTAAGAGAAACAAATACCGTATTTGTATTATTAAATACTTATGTAATAATTGGCGCTATACAATATCGTGGCCGTCATATTATATTTTATTTGTTTGATTACATAATGTTTTTTACGTGGAGTCAGACGTACGCATATTATATACTTAGTGTATACTATCATAAAAGAAAAACTGTTAAATTCTCACCGTTAAATAGCTTTAAACATTTTGTAAGATCAAAAACGCAGTAGTTTTGCTCAATATTAATAAATATGTAGTGTTTTAATAAAAAAGTATTATTATTATTAAGTGAAAATATTTATCATCATATTGAAGTAATACATTGTAATAGATGTAATTGTCAGATTATTATTATTTTATATTTAAATAGCAGTTAATAGCGCGAAGATCGTGTGTTTTCTGATTTTGTAGCGTTGGAATAATATTAATAATAATGATTATTACTATTATTATTATTATTATTATTATTATTGTATATTTTCATAAATAAAAATTATTACATAGTTTTAAACTGATGCCTTTTCATTATTATATTCTAGTTAAGTTAATCTTAAAGCATTAAAAACGTTCCAAAAATGGAAAAACACTTGACAGCATCATGCAGTGTTTACTTGTTTTGAAATTTGGCGAAATAGCAGCAAAGTGTTATTGTCAGTAGTCGAAAGGACACTACTAGACTGTTATAATACTTACATAGTGTATACTGAACATTATTTCCATTATTAGATTGTCCAATAAACCTCTTGAAAAATTGCTTGTTCTAGGTTTTCTTTACTTTTAATTGTGTTATTAAAATAAAATAGACTAAAATGTATAAATGTATTTTGTAACTCTATACATTCGATCTGTTAAGAAGGCTTACAAAATAAATACAATGTGACATCTTCATTTTGCTAGATCCTTCAAGTATACATATGGTAATTTTATACGTATTCTACAGTTGTATTTCTTATTCAAAACGGAGATACTAACTAATAATATTTTAATTTTCCTAGTTTAAGTTTATTCTGATAATATTAGCGACGATTTCAACAATTTAATTACAGATTTTTACACATAAATTGTCGAAGAAACAATATTATTATATTAATTATTTAAGTGTTCAAAGGCAAATACTATTCAATAGATATTGAGTTTTTTGGAATATAATAAGTATTTTAGTTTAAAAAGATATAATTTTCGTTATGATAAGTAAAATTAATACTTTTGAAATTCTTATAAAATTGATATAAGTAGGTATCAAATTTATGATTGTGACATAAATTATATTGATTAATTACTGCTTTATAATTGGAAACTAAATACAAATTTCAACTATAATAGCTTGTTTGAAAAGGTCTATAACAATATATTTAATATCTTAATTTCCACAAGGCTCTCTATTAAAATATTAAATTTATTCGATAAAATAAAAAAATGTTTTGTTTTATATTATTACTTATTTACCGACTTTTTAGAATTACAAAAATAAAAACCAGATTCAAAAACAGCGTCAAAAATCATTTTAAAATTAGCTAAATATGCCAATTCAAAATGTGTATACTATAAAACTTAGTCCTATACACTGTACAGGACTAAGTTCTCTCACCCTCATTTCAAAAATAAAAACGCCCGTTAAAAAAACGAATAATAGAGCCATATATTAGATATCATTACTTTGATAGGTGAACTTATTGAGGAAAAAAATGAGTCATAGTCCCTTTTCTTCTATGACCAGTCCACCCGTGTTAATTAAACTTTTACAATTAAACTCACAAATAGAAAAACTCCATGTCATTTGTTCTCTTGAAGAAGTTTATTAGCTAATATTTTATGTACATTCTATTTTTATTAATTTGTATTTTCCGTTTCTTTTAACTCTTCTATTGGGTTTTATTTATTATTGAAACAGCTAATGTTTTTCATAATCATCAACGACGAGTAGTGTGGTTTAAATCTTATTCTAAAGAATTTAGAATTATCGTGGGGTTTATCGATAGTTTGATAATTTATATCATGAAAATGTCCAGAATTAATGTACTTTATACTTATTTTTTAGTTTTTTATTTATTCTATACAATAATCATACAATGGACTTTTAACTTTGATTGATTCGTATGTATCTTCACTGATACGATTCTGTGGGTTTTCTTTCGAATTAGCATTGCACTTGGTAATTCTACAGGTTGAATAATGGCAGTTGCGTGAAGTACACCCTCGACAATTTGTAGTCGGCTCGTAGAAGGATTACTGGGGCATAATGTTATCATTACCGTTGTTGGTTATGGATGGAAATAATGTAATAACACGGAAACGATGGCAGTATAATAATAATAATAATAATAACGACAATGACGACACAGTTGGCGGACGAACAGGCACAAAGAAAGGTAGAGGTAATATTGTACCATCACGCCTCGGTAGTCGACAAAAAAACCTAAAAAAACGTCGTCATAATGTTGCCAGAAAGAAGACATGCAGAGAAGGTGAAGATAAGGGTAAAAACTTTCGACAAAAATGTAATTTTGAACCCAAGGCGTTATCGTTAAAGATAAAATCGAAGGTCGGGGAGGTTGTAGAACGATTTAACTTCCCCATAAACTACCCTGCCTACTCATTCATATAAATAGCCAAGCTATAGTTTCCGGATGTACTTCTCACGCACGTTAAAGTTACACATATTTTCTATTGCTGACACACGAAGCCAACGTGACAGTTCAAATGATGACTTACCATTATCATTAAATTATGAATAAAAAAAAAAAAACAGTTGTCGTACGGATGAAGTATTTTAAATGTTATTTTATACCTGAAAAATATAAACGTTGAATATTTATTGATGAAATTAGCACGATATTAAAAGATATTATTAGGTTCTATTAAGTACATTTAAAAATATGATTTATCATCATAAAAATGTTGTGTCAAATGATGAATTATATACATTTTTCATGTTTCTGTTTATTTAAAAAGATTATAATTTACTTTATTAAATAAAATATAAGACCAATTGAACTGTTTATTGCGCGTCAAAAATCTATTTTATAAAAAAAAAAAATCTGTAATAAGAAAGCGTTAACAAATGCAACAATACTGTTGTAAATTAAATTCAAATCGAATGACAGCTGTCACGATTGATTAGTGATTCCAGTGTCGCATAATAATGTCTACTAGAGTAAAAAAAAGAAAATTATTTTACTTTGAAACTCTGAGACAAGAATTTTTTTTAATAATTAAATGTCACAGTACCAATTTTTGATACAATTACAAATCATAATATATATTTTTTTAAAAAATTATCCAAAGAAATATATATTTAGTTAAAAGTTAAGTTAAATATGAAATTCATTTCACACTTTTATACCTATTTATAGTGTCTCTCATAGGATAAGTGAAATGTACCAATAACTGTCACTTTTCAGCAACATTCATCTAACTTTTCGCTCCTCTTCGGATATTTATGTATATGTGAATGGTATTATTGGAAAAGTAATACCTGTTACTGTTGATCATTCGACGGAAACCAATTTTCGACTATGACGATGGAAATGGCTGCGGCCATATGTGCAAAGCATGATTGGTAAAATAAGGATCGGTTATAAAGGTCTCAGGTGGCTCATATATATATGAATGGAAAACTTTTGTGTCGTCGAAAGTATGCAAAAGACGCGATAAAACCGCCATGTCCGTGTGTACACATTCACAACGTGAAGTTCATATTAACCAGGTGCATAAAATGCAAAATGTATGTTTTCTCACCGTTTTTTCATCTAAGCAACTAAATGGGTCTGACACCGATGGAAAAAACATTTATTCTTTGACCCGGAATAGGAAAGGTAGATGTGTAGCTGTTGGAATATTTATGCCTCAGTGCTCAATTGCTATTCACATAATATACGTGTAATATATATATATATATATACATTAGTTTTTAAATTATGATTGTTATAATGTAGATATTAAAACCTGTAATGTTGTATATAAATCCGATGCAGACGTTGGTGCTTAAACGCATACTACAGAAAGACAATAAATTATTAAAGTTTTTTCTTTACTGCAATGTATCTTGTTTATGCTTTATAAATAAAACCTATGTGCGTTTTATAGTGTATATTGAAATATTAGTATTGACAAAAGTTTACTGAGGCAAAAAGAAAACGACATAAAATCAAAGCTCTTCGAGAATTTCATTTGATGACTCTATACGACTCGAAACGATTAAAAAACAAACAACATTCGTTGTAGGTCGATTACAAAGGTTTTACCATTGCCATTATTTATATAAATATTTTTGAAACTTTTTTAATGAGCCTTTTAAAATATTTCCTCTTCGACTTTCAGTTACTAATTTAAATGTTAATGTATGTAGGTTTTATTAAACGTATTTGCGTACAAACTTCTTTCAGTATTGTTTTTTTATAAATTAAATATTTTATTTTATACTTAAAAATTCGTGTTCGCCTAACGATTACCCATAAATTATATTTGTGTGCCTTACCATACAGTATTTGATAGTATACTTTGGTAATTGAAGTTTCATTTATGTATATTTTACATTTATATATATAAAAATGTTGGAAATAAATTATACACTGGTACAAGAATACTATAGTTTTTTGCATCGAACGCCTATAATAGTCAAAACCTATTATTTATGAAATCACTGATTTAAGCTTCATTATAATATTTTATGTTTAACATATATAGTAATGGGTGTGTTCGCATTTTTTATAGACCCCTGAACCGATTATATTAATTCAAAAGGGAAATATTCGACCTTGTAGTAATACTGAAAACCCAATGTTAAACTTTAAGATGCAAAATATAGGTAACATGCACGCATGCAACCAAATCCTAAGAGTGAACTCAATAATTACATAAAGTACATTTATTGGTATTTTGTTTCAACCAAAGACCCTCGATGTCGGGTAAGTTGTGTGTGCTTTTTTTTTTACTACGCTCTTGTTGTTTCGATTAAATAATTAATGGTCAAATTATAAAGCGGTGTAATTTACACAATGATCTTAACCACAGACCATGCACAAATATAGTAACATAAACCTTTAATAGGTACTGATATAATAATCACTTTATAAAATGATTCCAAGGTGATTAAAACTTTGAGCATAAATGAAATGGTGCGCTGAGACGTTGGTTGAGTAAAATCAAGTTAATTTGAGTTTAATCAACAAATGAGATTTTTAATTAAAGTTACAGAGATGAATTTATTTAAGGTTTAATGAAATATGACACATATAGTCAAGTCATTACAACAGTAAGAATTTTATTATACATTCATAAAATATTTAGGACGTTATCTAAAGATTTAGATAGCAAAGGTTAATAAAAACCCTTTTAAACTGGGTCAATGCATGTCTGAAGAACGTGTAGATTAACTATTACTCGGCAAGAAATAAAAAATTTAATTTTATAGTTTAACTTTGTACTTAAAAGTAACAGTGCACTTTATTATAAAATAAATTTTAGCTGAATAAGAAATATTACACTTTATTAAATAAAAAAATAAGTTATTATCATGTAATATTTCTAAAGTCACTGTTTTGTCATTAATTTAATTTATCTTTGTTTCTTAAGTTTCATCTAATGTATAATATTATATATTTCGTAATGATACCTTGCTTCAATGATTTTTATTTTTTTAATGTACTAAATAGATAAACGATGTGGTGGATTATGGTTAAGCTAATATATTACCACGTTAAAAACTTTTTTTGGACTTAAATAAAATTGTATATGTTGTGTGATGACATAATATAAAATTAATACACGAAAGGGGACAAAGATAAACTACAGTTTATTGCTAAAGTTAAAGTATGTGGTAAACTCATGTTGTAGCAAAACTTTTAGAAATTATAGGGAAGGACCGCTAACTCTTTGGAGTTTTCTCAAAAACGCATTTATGCTGGTGCAGATAATATTCAAAAGAATTTATGAGTTCCGGTGTTATTCCTATACTTGAGTAAGCAGCTCCTTCCGCGGCGATTGATCCGCAAAAAAACATGTACAGCGCAAAATAAAAAAAAAGTATTTTACTTGGTGTAAGTGAACGTCTGACTCCTCAATTGGTTTAACTTTACAGAATCGTTTCTCCGATCCCCTGCAACAGTGCGTGACCATTGCCGGAGTTCTTCAATACAGTCCCTACAAATAATATCTCGACTATCAAAAACAATATTTTATAAACAGAAATGGCGGTGTCATCGATATATTTTTCACTACAAGAACTTTTTCATTGTGTCGTTTTTGCCTCCGTTTTTTTTTTTTTGCGTGAAACTTACTTTATCGTTTCGTCAATCACTGTAGTCAAAACACCGAAGTATTATAATTTTTATTTTTAATTTTTTCACCACCTATCTTAGTCGCCCCATCGTTCCACTGAAGTACAAAAAACAGTGGGTGTAGAGATAAAAAATGTATGAAAAAATTGCGGATAAGATCCGTAGTGAGATGTCAACCAGAGGAGGTGAAGGAACGTAAAGTAGGAAAGGCGTTTGAAAAATGGTCAAAGTGGCAATCTCGCAAAAGGGTCGAATTAATGGATCGTTGGGGTTGCTCGACCCCATGCCATAAACAGCATGCCACCTACCCTTTCATCTATAACGAAGGGAAAAAAGAAGTCGAGATTTCTGGCTTCTCGGCACCGCGCCCCAATGTTCAGTTGTCTTGGAAGTATAATTGTTGCCAAAAGCACACGTTAAAATATTATCTTCGTGTATAACAAAAAGACTTGTTGACTACAGGTAATTAATAGAGCACATTTGGCAAGTTGAACCGAAGAAACTTGCTGTTGAGTGAAAGGTTCAAGTAACATTTTTCATCATAAATATATCCATTGCAAGTGAATTTTTTTAAACCCAATGATTATTTAATTTTTCGAATATCTATGCAAAATATATCCACTTGAATGATTGAATTTAAGGGAAAACTAAAGTTCAAAATTATTAATAGTGTTTCTTAATTTAATTATTAATTCGCTGATTTCGAATTAGTGTTATAAAGACCTATAAAGATTATGATGAAAACTAGGCACGTTTAGTCCTTAGTTTAAATTTATTAAATACTTTTGATAACTACTTTTAAGTTAAAGTAAACCCAACCAATAGATATTAATCAAATCTGTACAAATATTTATCTTTGTAAGTACTGAAAACCTTTTTTTTAAGTTTAATTTATTGTTTGTATACTTATTAAATTTCTAGAATAGTATATATTTCATTTTTTAAGAAATCGCGCTTTTGACTATACATTTTAAAACCATAATTAATCAAAAGCATATATATTTGTGTACAACAAATATCTATTATTCTTTAAACATTAATTGAAATTAATAGTTTTGTATTTTAACAATTAAATATCGACTACTTTTTGTGCAAAAAATACAAAAAAAAGTTGTAGCTTATTAGAATGAACTAGTAATGCTATAAAGCATTTAACAGACTTTATGTTACCAACGTGTAATAATACTTTTACTGTATTTTTCACTCTGAAAAATATTATGTGCTTAAATTACATGAGAATTGGAGGCATGAGTGGCCTTCGTTCATTTCCTTCCGGTCTATACATTATATTACCGCCAAGTCCCAAAGTATATGTCAACAATGCACGTGCTGGGTTTCTTGTTATCCTGTTCACTAATTTTCTTGACATTTGATATACTTTACTAGATCGAAATCGATGAGTGTGATAGAAATATGGTTTCAACAAGAAAAAGTTGATGTAGGGTACAATTGGACATTAAGATCAAAATAGACATTTATATAAATATCACGAAAAGAGTTTTAACACTTCCAAAAATCGTGAATAGCTTTATTTATATTCAACAAATGTACAAAAAATAACTAAAAACATTATCAAAATAATACATTTTATGAAAAATAAATGTTTCAATTTCAGGTATTTAATAATTCATAAAATAGAGCGATAAAATTACAAGTAGAATTGTATGATTTTTTAAGTCATATTTCCCTATCTCAAACATTAAATGTTTATGAAAATAATTAAATATTATCATGAAATCTGTAAGTTTACTGTAAATCTGTATATTACTATTCATTTAATAACTTATACATATTATATAATGTATTATTTTTGTTTTAAATAATTTTAAAATTATACGAGTACACTAAACAAAATTTTTATTTTTATTGAGAGATAACCCTAAACATTTTTTTTTAAATCTATTCTTAGAATTATATTTTTTTTTATAATATACTTATTACTTATAATTGTTCTTAAAATATATAAAACTTGGTAATGTTTTTAAAGAACATTATTTGACTCAAATCCATTGGGACGAGTTTCAATAATCACTATATATAATATGGTGCCTTCTATTTTCCAAACTTTTTTTATTATAAAAAAATAAAAATTAACCTTAAATTTATATCTATTCAATGACATTCACATAGTAATGACTTAAGATCAAAGTTTAAACAAGCGGAAAACATTTTTTGATAATACAGTTAAAGCTATGTTAAAAACATTTAAGTTATATTAAATCATGATAACTTAATACAATATGCTGATAAATGGTGATATTATTATCATTTGCTATCGGTTAAACAAATAATAATATTATAATAAATAATAAGAGATATATTATCTTTATTTTTGCTAATGCAGTTTTATGCATTGCAATGTAAAATTTATGGATACATATCAGAATAAATATCCAGAAATGGTGGAAAAGTTGGAAAAGTTTATTTCAGATCTTTTAATTTACTATTTTTCTTATTTAAATATATAAATTAAATTTTATTGATTGAGAATAATTTTTAAACATATACTCTCAAACTTTATTTAGGCTTTTTTGCTCTTGGCATTAAAATGTTTATAACTTCTCATATAATATTGTTTATATTTTAGAATTCTTTATAATATATAAACTACTGATTTAAAATATATATAGTGCATTTTCTTAATTTGATCATTTTTCATTTTATAAGCTAGTTAAACATGTATGTTGTCATTAAAACAAATATAGTTGACAGCTTTATAGGATATAAGGGATAGATCAAGAAAGTATTTGAAACTAAACAAACCCAAAAAAAAATTCCTATATTACTTTAATTTTGTAATTAATTGAGTGGGTTGATACAGGCGTAAATTACTTATAATACAAAAACTACATAATACATTATTTTATTAAATTTCGATTTTTTAATTGAAAAATTTTGATGGTCAAAAAAATCTATATTTTAGAAATTTCTAACTTATAAAACTTATGTTATAGTTTCTTAAATTATATGCATCAAATGGCTTCTAAATAAGGTATTTATATATAAATTTTTTTGTAATGTTTGTAGGGATTAACAAAGATGTTAAATAACATGTCACAATGAATGCGTTTATATATGTTTATATGTTTTATTTTAGATGTACTGCAGTACGATAACACTCCGTGTATTTTTTTTATTCTCGCGCTGTTCGTCAATCCAGTGACACTTTTTATTTGTACTCTTTTTTTATGTACGTATAAAATCATTTTTCATTATTAAAAAGTATTAATTATTATAAATTTTAATTGTAGTATTTTGTAATAAATATAAACACCAAAACACTACAAATTGGTGACCTCGACGTGATTTATAATAATTAATACTTTTTAATAATGAAAAATGATTTTATACGTACATAAAAAAAGAGTACAAATAAAAAGTATCACTAGATTGACGAACAGCGCGAGAATAAAAAAAATACACGGAGTGTTATCGTACTGCAGTACATCTAAGATAAAACATATAAACATATATAAACGCATTCATTGTGACATGTTATTTAACATCTTTGTTAATCCCTACATAATACCAAAAACATCATCCTTTTCTTTTCAACTAGTTTCATTTAGTGCCGTTTTTAATCTATCATGGTTAAAAATAAATAAATAAACTTGTTTTTTCTAGATCATGTTTTTAACTTTAAAATTTAATTCATTTCTAAATAATTTAGAGTTCATGAAATTACTTTATTACAAGTCAAAATGTGAGTTATATTAAAGTTTATTTACTTAAATGTTATTTATTACCAATGACAAATTTTAAGAAAAAAATTTAAAAAAACTGTTAGCAAAGTGTTGGTTATTTGTTTATTTTTTAAATATTTATTATTATCAATTATTTTACAAAGAATAAAAATTATTTAAAACTTAGTGAAGATTACATAATAATATTTAAAGTAATGTGATTTTATTTTTTATAGTATTTATTTTTCTCTTTGAATAGAAAAAATCTCTGATATTTTTATTTTATAATATTCTAGTAATTTGTTTATACAAAATTTGTCAAGGCTATTTTTAATCAGCTGAAACATAAATAAATAAGTAAATTATCATGTCAAGTTAACATAATAAAAAATTATATTTATAAGTATAGATGAAACATTTTAGTGTATGTAACATCATTATTACTAACATTTAATTTTCACTGATTTCAACAAACTTATCCGGAATACTCTAGAACAGCGCATTACTTTTATTGAACATATTATATCAAATTGTGAAAATTTATTGCATAAAAAATCTGATATAATATTGTCAACTTGTAAAGGAGACTTATTTTGGTTGATAAGATCATCTACACAGTCATTGATTAATTGATTGAATTCAGTTGGCAATTTTCCTAAGATTATTGAAATAAATTTTATGTTATTACATTATGTAAATAAAACATGTAAATAAAGAATTATCGATTACTAAATATTTCAATGATTAATTAGAATTTTTATTACTTATAATTTAAGCTGCAATTTAAGGAAATATAATAAAATATGCTATATCTAATTTAAGTTTGCTTTAAATTCTTATTCAAAATATACGTGAATAGTAATGACAAAGTATAAATTTAATCATTGGGTGATTATTATGAACCTTTTTTTTTTTCTTGTAACTTAATGTTTTGCAAGCATTTGATCAATAACAATTTTGCTCCTCCTGAATTTTGTTCTTTTTGTATACTATAATTTATTGTGTTGGCTAACACTATAAATGTAGACATCTAAATAAAAGAGTTTATTTATTATTGATAAATGTTGAAAATTATTATTGTGTATATTAATGTTGCAATAATGTAAAATACAATTTATTGATATATGTTTAAAAGTAAAGCTTTATGAAAAATTAGTTATTAAATATTTTTAACTAGGAAAAAATTGGTTGTCTTTTTATATATGTTACCAATTCGAGCCAACAAAGTCTTACTAAAACTAAACAAAAGAATAAATATATTTCTTGCTAATACGTAGTATTTTTAATAGCAGTGACCTAATTGTTTTAGCACCCCGAGATGGAATGTTTTAAGTATTTAGAATCAGTTGTGCAAAAGAACGATGGTATTGACGAGGATGATAGAGAATGAATGTAGCAGAGATAAAAATGCTTAGATGGGTTAGTAGGAGTGACTAGAGAAGATAGGAACGATCATATAAGAGGGAGTATTGGTCTAGCGTTAATCGTGGATAAGATGAGAAAAAATAGACTTGGATGGTTTGGTCATGTTATGAGGAGAGACGAATCGTTGTATGAACAGTTATAGAAATGACTGTTGAAGGAAGAATTGGTAGAGAAAGACCAAAAAAGAGATGGAGGGAGGTTATTGAATGCAATTTGAGGATGGCTGATGTTAGTATATATGATATAGGAGATCGTGTCAAGTGAAAGTTTAGAATAAGTATGATCAATCTCAAGTAGTTGGGATTAAGGCGAGGAAAAAAAACAATAGCATCCCTAGGTTGTTTGTATTTCATACCTCCAAAATAAAAAAAAAAATTCAGTTTACTTAGGAAAAATTTTTGTTGACTATACCACTGCTTTAACCCTCAGATATCTCGCTTATTAAAAAAATTATAATATGTATAAACGTAAGAGTATAAATTATAAATAAAATTACATATATTTTTACTAGAATTTATCGGGTTCATCTGTTAAAACGTCCCCAAATGTTTCAGTGTCACCCTATTGGTTGTGTTCTGGAGAAACTGAACTAGGTATCCCCTTATTTAGAAACACCACTGTCTAATAGAATTACTAATATACACTGACAGGTAACCTAGTAAAATCAGCATAATTATTATTAATATATAGCCGATTTTTATTGAATTAAGAGGTTAATAATTTGTTAAAAATATAAATATTTTGTTAGAGTAACATAAATATGATTATTAGGGTGGCCCTCAAAAAATTAATGTCTCTTTTTTTTTACGCTACCCCTTAATTTTTTTTAATGGTCAAAAAAATGAGTTGTGCAAAATTTGGGACCGATCCGTTTAAGTTAACTCATGCCCCGCACCTTTTAAGTTGTGTCGAAGAATCAAATTTATTAAAGAAATAACTGATCTATGTCTCATAACTTTTTTTTTGCTTACTTAGAATTATAAAAGTAAAACTCAAGTAAAGGAAATATTACAAGAAATTCAAAAATAATAACTTCAACGTTGTTTTCTTAATAAATACCACACAAAAACATTACATACAGTAAAAAAGATGTTAAAGTCATAAAAATACGTTATAACTGATTTTGTAGATTTTTACTTATTTATTTTCAATTTATTCTTTGGAAAACGCAAATTCGTTTAAAAAAAGATATTAAAAGTTTAATTTTTTATGCCAAGTACAATAATTATATTAGATTTATTATTTTATGGATAGTTAATTAATGATAAATTACAAACTTAACAAAATGTATTGTATTTTTTTGACTATTGAAAAAAAAAATTAAGGGGTAGCCTAAAAAAAAAAGACATTCGATTTTTGAAGACCACCCTAATAATTATTCATTAAACAATAAAAAAAATTGTTGGCTGCGTTCTATTTTCAACACAAGTCTACAAACCGAATATGAAAATTTATGATACATCTTGGAGAAATTAAACTAAGTTCATTTTTCATATTAAAATTGATGTTAGGTTAAGCATAAAATTTTAAAATTCATTATAAAATAATATACTTACAGAAATTATTACAAAAAAAGATAAATATATGGACAGCATCATGTGTAAAGCTATTGTATTAAATAAGAAAAATTTAATAATTAACTGCACAGTTAAATATTTTATCAACAATTGTGTATTTATATATGTATTATTCAATAATTAACATTTTTATTTTACGTCAAATTTATATAATTTATTACCAACTTGGTTAAATAAATTTTGAATTTAATTTTTTGTAAATACAGTGCATGTCTACATTGAGGGTATTTATGGAACATACGTAGAATTAAACTTAAAAACTGTTTGTAAATAATTTATGTTTTAGTTTACTCAGTTTTAGTTATGAATAAAAATTTTATTTGACAATTATTAATTAAATGAATTGAAACTTTTTATTGTGTATTCAATGTAATGCAAATAAAAATTTTAATATTTGTCTGAAAATAGATGTATAGTTTATGACGGACTTGTGTTAAGCTCAGAAGCAAAACACAAATATTAAATTAGTAATGTATTCAAAATTTGAGCTTAATGAAATGTCCAAAATATTACCTTTACAATAAAGTGTCATTTTGATAAACAATTCCCCCCCAAAAAAAACTCAAATTATATCTAATTGAAGATGTTATCTTTTAGTTTTAGAAAGTTTACACATAATGTTTTTATAAAAGAAAATATTCCAAAATACAGCTTTATAGTTGTTAAAAACTTGTAACTTTAATATTTTAGTTTAAATTTTGATTCTCTAGAAATCTTTTAAATTAATGAAAACGAAACTATTATTAAAAGCACTAAAAAAATTATCTATCTTTATAATATAAAACCCAGCACAGGGGGATCGCGACACAGTGTTGACGTGGCATAGTTGGATCAAGTATAATGATATCTGACAGTGATTAAAATTACTATAAAAAAAAAAAAGCTTCGATGCAAATCTTTAGATAGTGTTTAATTTAAAAAAATTGGCGGATTATTCGAAAAGCTACATGATCTGCTATTTCCTTATTCTATATCCTAATTAAGGTACAGTATTTCAAATGAAAGATGTATATAAATATTATTTGTTATAAAAAAATTGTGTTGATCCATTTTCAAACAATAATAACATTTGGTAGCCATTTTTACCATGAAGACAAAGTAAAGTCCAAAATATTTTTTTCCATAATAAAGAACATTATATTAGCTTTAATTCAATATATATATATATAATTGTCAGACTTTCCGGAACAATTTCAAAAGTTAAGTTGAAAAAGTTCTACTTTCTATATACGTTTTTCAGATTTAAACCCTCCCCGTATAGAGAAATGGTCCGATCTAAAAAAAAAGTAAGTCGAATGAAAGATGTATATAAATACTACTTCTCACGAAAAAAATTGTATTTATTCATACATTTTTTAAAAAATAAAAATATTTTAAAGTAAAAAATGTAAAGTATAAAATCGAGAATTTTCACACAAAAATAGCATTCAATAGCCATTTTCACCATGAAGACAAAATAAAGTCCGAAATTTTATTTACCATAATAAAGTATATTACATTAGCTTTAATTTAAGATATATATAAAAGTGTCAGACTTTACGGAACACTTTCAAAAGTTAAGTTGAAAAAATTTATCATTTACCATAAAGTATGTCGAATAAAAAAGGGATATAAATATTATTTCTCATAAAAAAAATTGTGTTTTTCCATACACTTTTAAATAAGTTATAGCATTTTAAAATAAAAAACATAAAATATAAAATCGATAACTTTCACACAAAAATAACATTCGGTAGCCATTTTCATAGTGAAGTCCAAAATTTTTTTTTCATAATAAAGTATATTACATAAGCGTTAATTTAATATATATAAATATATAAGTGCCAAACATTCCGGAACACTTTCAAATATTACGTTGAAAAAGTTGTCATTTTAAATCCTCCATGTGGGCAGGTAAATGGTCAAATTTATAAAAAAAATATACCAAATAATAGGTAAAGACATCATGCATCTAAAAAAAAAAAAATTATATTGATTTGTTCATTTTTGAAAAACCTCAAAAAAAATTCCAAATTTAAAAATCGCTAATTTTTAGCTTAAATGCGAAGCTGAAAAGGTATTGGTTTTACTATGATGTGTTTTTTTTTGTATCTGTTGCCACTTTTTCTCAGCTCTAACCGAACCGATTTCTTTCAACAATACGTCAAAAAACCACAAATCGTATCTAGTCGAAGACATTACCCTCAAAATTGAAAAAATTTCCCTCGTTTCCCGTAAATGGGAGAAACCTCCAAAAAAATTACAAATTTAAAAATTGCTAATTTTCAATTTTTTTTACTTAAATCAGCCATAACATTTTTAAAAATAATCAAATCAATATATTTTTTTTTAATGATACATGTGATAATTACCTATCATTTTATATATTTTTTTTATATATCTACCCACAGTAAGGATTCAAAATGACAACTTTTTCACAAAAATTAACTTAACTTTTGAAAGTGTTTCGGAAACTCTGACACTTTTATATATATCATAAATTAAAGCTGATGCAATATACTTTATTAAATAAAAAAAAATTTCGGACTTTATTTTGTCTTCGTGGTGAAAATGGCTACAAAATGCTATTTTTGTCTGAAAATTCTGGATTTTATTTTTTACATTTTTAACTTTATAATGCTATAACTTATTGAAAAATGTATGGATCAATTCAATTTTTTTATGAGATATAATATTTATATCCCTTTTTTATTCGACATATTGTATCTTAATCAGGAAATATATTAATTAAATATTAATATTAAATATATTAATAAGGAAAAAGCAGAGCTTTTGGAATAAACCACCAATTATTTAAAATTAAACACTATCTATAGATTTGCTTCGAAGCATTTTTTTGTTAGTGATTTTAATCACTGTCAGATATCATTATACTTGATCCAACTATGTCACGTCACCACTGTGTCACGACCCACCTGTGCTTGGTTGTTTTTACTTAAAACTGCCATAAGTTTATTAAAAATGATCAAATCGATATAATATTTTTGTTATTGATACGTGAGATATTTTTTTTATAAATTTGACCCTTTACCTGCCCATAGGGGGATTTCAAATGACAACTTTTTCACAAAAAAATAACTCCTTCATTCGACATACATTTTTTTTAAATCGAACCATTTCCCTACATACAGTGGTGGTTCAAAATATAAAAATACGAATAAAAAGAAGAACTTTTACTATTATATTTCATTAAAATATATTTATTATTTATTTATACGTAACCTAATAATCAAACAAAAATATTTTTTATATTAATTAGAAGGATTATTACTTAGGCCATATGCGAAATTCCTATTGCTGATTTGAATTAGTAAAAATAGGTTTATAAAATTATATTTTGGTTTTGGATGAAAATTCCTTGCAGACCAGTAAATTTAAATAATAAAACATTTTTTTTTTTAAGTATTGCATCAAGACCTTAAACTTTTATATACGTTTGCCATAAAAATAATAACTTCTTTATACTTTTTTATAATTTCTCTGTAAAAATTACAATACTAAATTATTAAATATTAATTTCATACTATATTTATTTGCTATAATAAATATTTATTCATGTATTACACTTATAAATCATAAAACTTGTAATCAGGATATAATATATTATAGTAATTAGGATATATAATAAGAAAATAGGAGATCATATTCCTTTTGATGTAATCCATCAATTTTTTTAAAAATAAATACTATCTACAGATTTGCATCGAAGCGTATTTTATGATAATGTTTTTAATCACTGTCAGATTAAATCTATACTAGACCCAACTATGCCACGTTCTCACTGCGCTGGTTATTTTTTTTAATTCATTGCATTCATTTCATTCCATAAAAATATATTTTTTATTATTTGTCAATAAGAAATAATATTTTGTTCACGCAGTCAAAGAATGTAAAAAATGTTCAACAAAAAAAATATAATTAAGTAATAATATGCTACGAACCAATAACCAATTAGTCTACAAATAGAATAGTTGGTTATGAAAAGTCAGAAATATCAAAATACTCAATTTTCTCTTGACTGTATTGTATATGATAACTAGTCGCGCTATCTGTCATTCACACTATTGTATTACAGATTTCTATACTACTTACACGATGGTAATGTTCCAAATTTTATAATTACTATTTATAGTAAATGTACCAGAAAAGCTTAATATTTTCTTGCATTTTTATCGTAATAGATAACTTAAATAGAAATAAGAGTAATCATTTCTTAGTAACTTTAGGTGTTTAAAAATTCCTACAATTGAAATATGAATTGAATTAATTTTGATGATTTACTTTAACTAAAAAAACTAATAAAAAAAAGTTGTTAAAAAAATCTAAAAATTTATTGTTAATTCAGGAGAAACTAACAAACATTTTTTTTAAAAATAATTTATATAACAATATGTTACCAAAATATTTTGAATATTATAGTTTAGTAGTAGCACACACAAATATAGTAAAGAAATTATTAAAATATAATGTAAAATGATTTAATTTTGTAGTTTTAGCGCGTAAGATACAAGTGTTACCGACTCGGCAACCATACGTTGCTTCCGCCGATTGAAAAAAATGACAATTTAAGCTATATCGAATTTCAATTTCATTTATCTCTACTTAAAAAAAAATAAAAAAATTTAAATAAGTTTAACTTTCTATGCTATATCAATTTGATTTATATTATATTTTTGAAAAACAGTATACTCTCTTTGTCAGGTATTTTAAAATAAATTAAAATACAAAACCCAGAATTTTAACACAAAAATAGCATATTTTTAAATATGGAAGTCATTTTCACCATGAATACAAATCCAGAGGTCAATATTTTTTTTCAAAATAAAATATATTACATAAGCTTTAATTTATGGTATACATAAAAATGTCAGTCTCTCCGGAACATTTTCAAAAGTTAAGTTAAAAAGATACTTTTTTGTGAAAAAGTTATCATTTTGAAACCCTTTCTGTGGGCTGGTAAAGGGACAAATATTCACAAAAATATATCATATGATAGGTATAAACCTAAGGTATCTATATAAAAAAAAGTTATATCGATTCGGTCATTTTTAAAAAAATGTATGACAATTTTAAGGAAAAAAAATTTAAAAATTTT